GCATTTGTTTACAACTCCCCAGTGGTACCTTAGATTTAGCGTATCCTTTTTCCATGCAAGGGTGGTAGACTTAACCGTTGTGCTGGATTCACTGAGTTTCCCAGAATCTCCAGTAAATTACCAGTCCCAATGTGTAGACCAGGCACCACTCTGTGGCAGTGTTTGGGAACTACACTTTCACCAATAGGTTGGTGTTAGGAGAAAGTGAGTTGTCACTCTTTACCACTGAATGCAGTGTGGAAGGGTAACTCATCCCCTTTTCTCTCCTTCCTTCCTTCTTTTCCTTCTTAACGTAGCTTCTTTGACTGAGGAGATACTGAGTTGGCAGTTCTTAGGAGGCCAGCCCAACCTCCTGTTATACAATCTGGTGGCATGTAAGCAGGATTATCCTACTTATCCCAGCGTAATATTCTACTTTTGCATTATTAAGGGCTTATAACAAACTTACCCAGACCAGTTTTTTCTTTGTTTTTTGGTTGAGATAGGGTCTTGCTTTGTTGCTCAGGCTGCAGTGTAGTGGTGCCATTCTGGCTCACTGCAGCCTCAACCTTCTGGGCTCAAGGAATCCCCATACCTCAGTCTCCCACCTCAGCCTCCTGAGTAGCTGGGACTATAGGCGCGTATCACCAAGCCTGGCTAATTTATTTTTTGTAGAGATGAGGGTCTTGCTCTGTTGCCCAGGCTTGCCAGACCAGGTTTTTATCTCTGAATGGGATAGCTTCCCTAATCCTAAATGTTTCTCCATATCTCCTAAAAACTTTAAAGAAACTGAAGTTCATTTGCCCCTCCATACTACAGGGAAAGCATGCTGCCCTTTGATGGGGGTATTCCCTGTCTTCTGTCTAGGATCCTTCTGCACACATTCTTTCATGTCCATCAGGAAACACATGCTCTCTCCATCCTCCACCCTTCCTTTCCCCTCAGTGTACTCTTTTGAACCCTTGGGTCCACCCTCCTTCCCTACCCTTGCCTGAACCTCTACTGTCTAGCTCAATGCAATACTGTGCTTTTTTATTTTCCCTTGCTTTCTGCTACAGAAGGTCCTTTCTAGGCTGTGGTTGGTAACTTTTTATAACTTCAGGAGAGAGACGTTTTCTTTTCTAGAAAAGAAAAACAGTCTCTCTTTCCCCCATTAATAGCTCAACTACTGATTGTTGTATAAAAGGCCCTGGGCTCTGAAAGTATGGAGTACTTAGTAGGTACTCCATACACGGTCATTAAACAACTGAATGAGTGAAATCAAGAGAGCAGGACAATTGGCTGAAGAGTTTCAAGTAGTGGGAAATGAGGCTTTGAATGATGAACAACACAGATCCAACTGGAGGGCTTTGCATACTACATAAATACTGGAGAGCTTTGCATACTTGGTAAAGAAACTGTGGAATCTCGTAAGCAGCAGGGAGCCATTTAATTTACATATCCTGTAGAGGTATAATTCATATATGTACAAAAAGTATATATATCTTAACTGTACAGCTTGTTGGTGTTTTACTTATGTAAATTACCTGTGTAGTTGCTGCTCAGTTCCAGAGAATATTTCTAGAACTCCAGATGGGGAGCTTTCATCTTGATTCACAGCATTTGCATAACCAAGTCCCAGAAGTCATGTGGTTGGTCTGAAGTGTAACTACGACTGGAATTATTACAGCTACTCCTGACTTAGCCGTTCTTTATACTTGAATAAAAAACACCAATTTGGACCATTTAACTGCATGACAAAATAATAGTTATGATTGTGGTTGATATTTATTAATCAATAGCATACTTGATTTTATCCGTTTCACAGGATTTTGCTCCTATCACTCTTTTACAGATGCTGAAGATTAGACAAGTAAAGTGATTTGCCTCAGGTCCCACAGCTAGAGAGTAGCGGAGTTGGAATTAAACCCAGGACTATTCATCACTGGGATTGATTACTTATTGGTGATTTGTTGCCTCACATATCTGGTGCTCAAGTTTACATAACAAAAATGTTGTCTCTTTGGTGGGAGGTGATGCTTGTATTTGTCACCTGCATACAGTGAATGGTCTTCTGAGGGATATTCTGACCTGTGGCTTATTAGAATTTTGAGAGGGAAAGAGATTTTTGCTTCTATGATAGGCCCCAGAGTGATATTTCGTAGGAAGAAGAATCTTTCAATGTGGATGGCTCTTTACCACATACATGTAGCCAGTAGATGATGGTCTCTGTAAACAAAGTATGAAGATAAGTCACAGCAAAGATTAGGCATGAACCTAAATATCTAAAATCCCAACAATTAATTTGACTTAAATATTAATGAGTGGACTAAATGCATGTAGCAATATGGCAAAATTCTTGTAATATTACAAGAGTTAAGACATCCAAAGAAATATCCGTAACTAGAGGAGGTAAAACAGTTAAAGTTGCAACAATCTTATACCAACAGTCAAACCAGCAATCTTTTGTACATGTTAATATCTTAATTTAATCTCACAATGCAAAGAACCAGCACATTTAAAGAATTCTTACTATTGTGCATGGCTTGGACATTTGTAAAAAATGTATTTAACATTTATTTATTATATTTTTAGCTAAAACCGGTAGGGACAGTGTAGTACTTTGAGGCATCAACTGGGAGTAGTCAGTGAAATTGGGGTTTTACAGGATTAAAGCATGGCATGTGGAGAAACATGTTTCAAGAAACGAATCTTAAGTGTAAAGAGAATGCTTTCTCCAATTTGCTTGTGAAAGACTGCTGATTCCAGTTGTTTAGAGTAATGGGTACAGAGAATATTGTTGTCAGTACAATTTATTTACTTTTTGAAGCGGTATGGGTTCCAAAAAGTAAGTTCAGGATTGTTTTGATGCCTGCTTATTTTTTTTTTTCAGGCAAGTAAAGTGAATTGATACCTGTTTATTTTTAAATGGTGATAGAGCAGTGGAGGAGGAGATGGCTTTCTACTAAAAGTTACTGCTGTTGGTAAAGGTTTCTTTTACACTTTGTTCAATAAATCATGCATTTAAGCAAAACATTTAAAAAAGAAATAGGGTTATAGATATGGAATTCTGTGATTATTCTTTAAAATTTTAATTTTAATTAAAAACTTTTTTTTTTTTTTTTAAGAGACAGGGTGTTATTCTGTCCCCCAGTCTGGAGTGCAGTGTGGCATGATCATAGCTCACTGTAACCTCGAACTTCTGGGCTGAAGCAATTCTTCTGTCTCAGCCTCAAGCAACTAGGACTACAGGTGTACCCCCCCCACCCCCCGCCCCAACTTCTGGCTAAGTTTTAAATTTTTTGTAGAAATGCGGTTTCGCCTTGTTGCCCAGGCTGGTCTGGAACTCCTGGGCTCAGGTGATTTTCATGAAGTGTTAGGATTACAGGGATGGGCCACCACGTCTGGCCTTAAAGTTATTCTTGAGATTTAAATAAAATGTGGAAGTGTCCTTAAAAAAAAAATACGTAAAGTCATGGTATCAGGCAGATTAGTATATCCCATCCCCAAACCAGTGGTTTCTTTTCTGTTCTGTTCAGAGTGCTTATTTCTGAGTAGCTCTCTGGTGTTTGCATAGGTCACCACGAATACTGTGTTCATAGAGCCAGGAACCCTTTTGCCTGAAGAAGGCTAAACACCTTTGGTGCTGGTTCCTAGCATTAAGCTGTCTCTTTCCAGATCATTCCTTCAGATTTTGTAATGAGCCAGTGGGAAAATGGGCTTTGAGGAAGTCATTCCAAAGTAGGTCAAAGGAGATACTCAGAATAAAAGGATGATGATGATGGTGTCCTAGTTAGTGCCCTTTTGTGAAAAGAAGGAAATGCACTCTCTCAGATTATTGTTGTTTTCTTTTTTAAACCTTTTTCTTTTTTGGAGACAGGGTCTCATCCTGTCACTGAGGCTAGAATGCAGTGGTATGATCATGGCTCACTGCAGCCTTGACCTTCCAGGCTCAGGTGATCCTTTCACCTCAGCCTCCTGTGTAGCTGATTATTTTAAACCCTTTTAAAGAAAACGGAAATGTAGGCTGAGATTCTTCCCTTTTTACTTGGATACTTTAACCATCCTTTTTTTTTTTTTTTTTAAATGGTAATGACTTCAATAGTTGGGAGGCTTTGATCAAAGAAGAGAGAAATAGAATTTAAGATAAAGAAACAACAAAAGATATCAGTGAAAGAATAAGTTTGAGGTTTCTACAAATGAAAATTTCTGAAATGATATTTTCTTACCATAGCATATAAGACAGTTGAAAGGGGAATAAGAAAGTGTGAGAAAAGAAAGGTGGAAGATGGAATGTTCCAGGCCTCTTTGTGTTGTCTCCATTTCTTTCCAGCTATTTGTCTTCTTAGGACTGATGATTATAATCAGGTTGTTAATTCAAATAGATCTGATTATAATTTACTGTGTTTTCTACTTTTTCTGGAGTTTGAGATCTAGATTCTTAACCTTAAATAATTATGAAAAAAGTTGTAGTAGATCTTTTGCAATCTTGCGTATTTCAGATACGAAAATTTAGAGATACCTAGTACCTTTTCTTCACTTGAAGGTGCTCATAAGAGACTTCATTTGATGGAGAATTAACATATAGGATAAACCCTAGTACAGTGAAAATGTTTTGACTAGTTCTGGATAAGTGGAATTTGTTAAGCAAAGTTACATGGGTACGTTGGTAGGCAGGTAATCATAAATTTTATTTTATTTTTCTATTTATTCTTATTTCTGAGACAGGGTCTTTTTCTGTCACCCAGGCTGGAGTACAGTGGCACAATCATGGTTCATTGCAACCCCAACCACCTGGGCCCAAGCGATCCTCCCACATCAGCCTCCCAGGTAGCAGAGACCACAGGTGCACACCACCATGTCAGCTAATTTTTTAATTTATTGTTTTTAGAGATAGAGTCTTGCTATGCTGCCCAGGCTGGTCTCAACCTCCTGGCCCCAAGTGGTCTTCCTGCCTCGGCCTCCCAAAGCACTAGGATTACAGGTGTGAGTTACCATACCTCACCATGAATTTTAAAATAAGCATTTTTCTTTTCTTACAGTCCTATTTTGTAACAGATTATGATCCAACCATTGAAGATTCTTACACAAAGCAGTGTGTGATAGATGACAGAGCAGCACGGCTAGATAGTAAGTAAATTTCCTTTATTTGATAATTTACATATTATATATTTTTAAAAAGCGTTCTCTGAAGTTTTGCTAGGTTAAATAATACATTCGAAATATATGATCTGGAATATTAGCCCATGTCATTTCTAAGTTTTGATTGATGAGTCCTCATAATGGGTAATTTAAATATTCTTTAGTAAATGAAAAGTTAAACAGTATTTGTATTGATCTTGTTCTAGGGAAACTAGTCTCGTTGTAGTTTGTTGAAGTTGTATTTATTGGGGCAACTGGAAAAAACATGTCAGGTCTCAACTCTTCCTACCTTTTGGCAAAGGTTGAAATGGATGAAGTGAATATAGAAAAGGTTCAATATGTGTTACTTTACTTAGAATTTATAGCACAGGGGCTTTAACAAACACTGTTTTGTGTCCAAACATTCTACCTCTCCACAAATGAAAGCCCTGTCTTCTATCTAATATGTATGGTTCTTTTATTTACAGAGATCAAAAATTATATTAGCACCTGCACTAAGTATGTTTTTGGGGGCAGTGATCATAACTCAGATTTCTTTCTTGAATTTACAGGTATCTTTTCAGTTTTTTCCTTGGAGGGGATAAAACATTCAAGTGATTTTAGATTTTAATCAGACTCCATCTGATTAAATGCGTTTGATATTTTTAAGCTTCTAATTAGTATGTTAATATATTCTAACCACAAACTCAACCAGTATTGATGAAGATAAACTCTGTAACTGTCTGCCATTAGAATACATTTGTCTTTAGTATTGAGAATAAAGTACTAAGAAAGGAATGCCATTTCTGTATTAGACCAAGTATGAGGCTTTCTAGAGGACCCACATGAATTGGGTTTGCCCTTGCGGGGAAGCAGTTTATAAAATGAAAGCACGGGCATAATTACATTTGTTGTTTTTTCTTTAGTTTTGGATACAGCAGGACAAGAAGAGTTTGGAGCCATGAGAGAACAATATATGAGGACTGGCGAGGGCTTCCTGTTGGTCTTTTCAGTCACAGATAGAGGCAGGTTTGTACCAAATTAGAATGTAGATTCACTGTTCTTGTCTAGATCACTAGACTATTGAATTTGGACTTTGTGTTTTTTTTTATAGCAAAAGGAAAAATAAGAAAGTACTAAATGGGGCATGAGACTTGCTGAATTTTGATACTTGATGAAATTGATTAATTTGTTTTTGATTTTTTTTTTTTAAGTTTTGAAGAAATCTATAAGTTTCAAAGACAAATTCTCAGAGTAAAGGATCGTGATGAGTTTCCAATGATTTTAATTGGCAATAAAGCAGATCTGGATCATCAAAGACAGGTGAGAAAGGATTTCACTGTTGGGAAACCAATTGTTTATAATAATGTAAGTGAACTGATAGATTTAAGGAAATAATTGAAAGTCTGGTAAAAAATACTGTGTTCCATGCCACTTAAGTGTTTATGTCTGAGTCTGGCATACTGTATTTACAGAAGTCACAACGGTGAAAAATAGAAGTAGATTTGGGGAAATTAAATTTTCAAATAGTTTTACACAAAATTTTAGAAGACTTTATAAGCCTGCAGGTGTTTGAACTAGCTTCATTAACATGTAATAATTTCTTGGATAACATCCAGAACTCTAACTTAGTTGGCTCATTTTAAAGTTACCCCTAAAGGCCTCATTTATTCATTGCTAATACTAAATTAACTTCATGTAGAGAATGGCTTTCATTTAAATTACAATATTTGGATTTTTCCTAAGTCACTTTAATGACTGAATTTTTAAATTAATTCTTTACATTGGCTAGTTCTAACACCAGTAATCTTTAAGAAAAGAATACTTTTAGACCGGGTGCGGTGGCTCATGTTTATAATCCTAGCACTTTGGGAGGCCTAGGTGGGCGGATCATGAGGTCAGAAGTTCGATACCAATCTGGCCAAGATAGTGAAACCCCATCTCTACTAAAAAAAATTAGCTGGGTGTGGTGGTGTGCCTCTGTAATCCCAGCTACTTGGGAAGCTGAGGCAGAATAATCGTGTGAACCCAGGAGGCGGAGGTTGCAGTGAGCCGGGATCACACCATTATACTCTAGCCCAAGCGACAGTGTGAGACTCTGTCTCAAAAGAAAAAGAATATTTTTAGTATTTAGTTATAGGATAAATACTTATTCTCACTTGTTCTTTACCCACTTATTGAAATTTTATTAGTTAAAACAGTTTTTTTGGCAACACTGTACATTCATCTTTTTTGTCGAGGAGGGGAGCAAGGTCAGTTATATATTAATGCAGCCTGTACATTTGTATTAATTCATTCTCATGCTGCTATAAGGACATACCCAAGACTGAGTAATTTATAAAGAAAAAGATTTAATGGACTCACAGTTTCACATGGATGGGGAGACCTCACAATCATGGCAGAAGGCAAAGGAGGAGCAAAGGCATGTCTTACATGGTGGCAGGCAAGAGAGCATGTGCAGGGGAACTGCCCTTTATAAAACCATCACATCTCGTGAGTCTTGCTCACTATCATGAGAACAGGATGGGGGAAACCACTGATGTTTCAGTTATCTCCACCTGGTCCCTCCCATGACATGTGGGGATTATGGGAACTACAGTTCAAGATGAGATTTGGGTGGGGACACAGCCAAACCGTATCAATGTTATATGGGCTCTTTTTTTTTTTTAAGGTCTTTAGCCTCTGCCCCAATCTGGAATGTATTGTTTAAATTGTTTCTTTTGTTGGTATTTAAGTATTCTTGTTTTTATATTATGTTGTGTTTACAGATTTTTAGGATTTTGTTGGGAAAGTGCAAACATCAGGAAAAATTGTAACTGTCTTTGATTTGAGCTAGATACATAAAATTTTACTGAAGCATACCAGATTTCAAACACTGACTTAAGAGAAAATGATTTATTATCCTAATGCTAAAATTTGGAAATGTTCACTGATGAAACTTGGTAAAGAATAAATTTTTCTGTTAGATCTCTTTCAAATCTGAGTTATAAAGTTAGGGTGAAAAATTTGTTCATTTCAAATCAGTATAAACTGTTTGAAACAATTAAGAATATGGCTTGCTCACATTATAAACCTAGCATAGACAGTTCATCTATTTTTTTTAATATATTTAATTTTGTTGTTTTTTTAGACCATTTCCTTGAGGTTTCTAAACCTGATTATATTTATTGATATTTCCCAGTGGACCCTGCCTGTGGCTCTTCTCAGTTCTTTCTAGTACTAGAAACTGTATATGTCATTGCATCTGGGAAGTAGTGGAAAGTAGATGTGCAGTGAAGGAGTTCTCTTCCCCATCTCTCACTGACTTCTGCTTCATCCTGTATGCTTCCTGCCCTGATTATAGAAATAAGATCTTTCTCAAACCTTCTCATGGTGGTAACTCCAGTAAAGGAATAGGTGGGAGACCTAGGATAGGTAGAGATCCCCTGTCAGGTATGCAGTGGCAGATTAGGGAGAGGAGGATGGTCGCTAGAACCCAAAGAGGCTCTGCCATTATCAGCTTGGGGCAGGGTCTATATGAGTTATTTTTAAGTTGTCTTTATACCAGATTGAGGATCCCTAGCCCAAAAATCTGAAATCTGAAATGCTCCAAAATCTGAAACTTTTTGAGAGCCAGTATGATTCCACAAGTGGAAAATTTCACACCTGACCTCATGTGATATCACAGTCAAAACAGTCAAAACTTTGTTTCATATACAAAATTATTTAAAATATTGTATAAAATTATCTTCAGGCTATGTGTATAAAGTGTATATGAAAAGTAAATTAATTTTGTGTTTAGACTTGGGTTCCATGCCTGAGAAACATCATTATGTATATGCAAATACTGTATTCTAAAGTCAAAAAAATTTCAAAATCCCAAACACTTCTGGTCCCATGCATTTTGGATAAGGGATATTCAACCTGTATTGAAGATTGCCAGAATGTAGTATGTACTTTCCATCTGTCTGCAGACAGTCAACATATTGTGGCACTGGCTTTGTTTGTATATCATTGGATTATAATTTTTTTCATGGAATTTTTTTTCTTTTTGTAGAAGTCATAAATTCTCAGAGTTAAGAAGTAGGAGAACAATATAGGAAATGATTTCCATATTTCTGTCACCCTAAAGATATGTAGTGTTAACTTGGAGTAAGTTATTTTGTATTTATTTTTCTCTCTAAACCATATAAATAGACATAAATTATGTATATTCTGAAAAGCGTAGATGTATATATATCTAAGGGAGAAAAGCAAGTGCCTGAAATCCAATTGCTTAGTTTTCTGCTCATTTATAGAGTTTACTCTCTGAAGGATAGGAACAAAGAAAAGATTCATTCTTCCTTATGCTTTTTCTTCCTTTGCACCTGTACTCAGGCATGCTGACTACTCTTACTTTAAAAATCATGACCACAGCCTTTAGTGCTGACTGGAAATCCTACATTTCCCTAGTCCACTTATTTCCCATTTGTTTGGATAATTTTTACGTACTTTCTCATTCTTCTTCAACCTAATAATGCTTTCTTCTCTTTTCTCATTCAGCTGATGATACGTATGTTTTCCTGTTTCAGTGAGAGATTTTTACATGTCCTTACCTCCATATCTACTAACCTGAGTGCACAGGTACCCCATCAAGTTCACTTTCCTCCACTTACGTGGATAAACTGTTCCTCTGTCTATGACCAATTTCTCCACCAGATACTGGATCCTGTTCCTTCTCACCAACTCATGGACATTACCCCAGCAGTTGTTCTATTTCAGATGAACATTTCTACATGATAATTCCCATCAGCATACAACATGCTATAGTGTCTCTTATCTTTAAAACAAAAAAACTACAGCAAAACCTTTTTAATCTCACATTCCCCTCTGAATATATTTTTTCTGCCCCTCTTTAATAGCAAAACTCCTGAAACTTGCTTTCTCTACTTTTTCTCCTGCCATTCTTGATTGTACTGACATCAGATATTCATGCCACCATCAGGATCACCAGTTGGGTGAACGTCAGTAACATTGGACATGGTTGATCACTACCTTTTTTTGGAAACACTTTCTTTGCTAAGCTCTGAGTTAGTATTTCCTACTCCTCCAGTCTCTTCAGTGTCCTTTGTTGGCACTACTTTGTATCCTTGTCTCTCTAAGGTGTCTTGGGCTCTGGATGTGCAAAGACAAACATGCCTTATCTCCTAACCTGAGGGGACATGCTATTGAAATTGAGATACTATAGAGCATAGTATACTATAGATGCTATAGTAGATGTTTTTACCGTTTTAAAGTCTCTTCTCAAAGGTGATGGTCTAGAATGTCTTGACACCCTTACTTGTTCTGCCAAGTCAACTTGGACAGACCACAGGGATGCTGTTAAAACTTCTTTCCCCTCTTCAGAGATGTTTAGTTTTTGGTCATCTATAGGTTCTTAGTAACCAGTCTGGCTTGCTGTCTGTTGCTGACCCAGTTTGTTTTTTTCTTTCTTTGTCTTAGGCATGATCCTTTATAGTTTCTCTACCTTCTTGCCTGTTTTCTTGTCGATAATAAATACCAGTTCTCCTTGTTCTTTGAATTTGTGGATCAGCACTGGCCATTTCTACCACTGGCGCCTGAGAATCTACCACTGGCGCCTGAGAATCTGAACCCCACCAGGGAGGAGAGATCATACAGAAGAGGCTTTGCTTGCTTGCTTGATTGCTTGTGGCTTCCGTATCTCTGTGGACTGGGCTGCTGCTTTCATCTTTTCATCCATCCAGTATTTACTGAACACCTTTTCTAGGCAGTGATGATGAAGCAGTAGACAGAATAGTTGCGGAAGTTTATGTTAAATAAAACGAGATCTGTAGAATTTGAATGATTGTTTAGTGTTAACCGCCATCTGGTCCTTTAGAGATATGCCAGTCATTTTGTTTATTCTGCTAAAAGTGTAGCAAGAAAACATAGGTAAATGATTTGCTTGCCTTTGCTAAAATATAGAAGTAGGTGAATATAACAACACATTGAATATGAAATTTAATATTGCAGTATGTGGACTTAGACAATGGAATTTCATGTTATATCTGATTTCAAGTTCTTTGTCTAGATAGAGATCAACTGTTTTTGCTTTTTTTCGTTACCACCTTTGTCTCTTGGCTTACCTTGGTTGTTCCCTCTTTTTTCTCCTTGTTAGTTGCTTAATTATTAATGGTCATTATTAATTTGACAAAATAACTCATTATACTTAAAATAATAGACAGCTAAGTATATCAACCCAGACTCCTATTTGTTGGTATTTTTAACCACAGTGTGCCCCCTACAGCCTCCTAGGAAAAAGAACCCCTCCTTCTCAAATAATAGAGGGTCTTACCACATATAGC